ATTTGAATTTCCGAGCCGGGTCAACCTTTCCGGTCTCAGTTTGTACTGTATCGCCCGGACATTGGGTTATTAAAGCAGACACTCAATAGGACTAGGCGGTGCAACAAGGTTGACGCGGTCAGACTTTAGGTTGAATTTACTTTTACTAAAGGGTGAGAGGTGGTTGACCGGAAGCAGGTTGAACCAAGAATTAAAGATGGAGCGTACCTCCTAAATGTTGGGCCCTGCCCATGCCTCACATATTATTCGAATTCAATAACAGTGATTTTTGCTCTGACGCCTTGGCCTAGAACGCTAGAATTTTAGATGACTCTCCATAAGTGCCACTCTACCAGTGCCACTCTTAAGTGCCACTCTACCAGGGGCACTTCCTATTCACATTCTATTTAAATCCTTGTATGCTCAAGAATAAATGAGCTTTCCTTGTTTTTCTAGATAGAAATTAATTATTTTCTTTTGTGGTTTCTCCACAAAAGTAACCAACTACGGATTCTACAGCAGAGACAATGACGGAAATTGTGATGTAACTCAAATGGAAGGTCCTATATGAAATTCATAAAAAGAGAGTCACTTGAAACTAAGTCTACTAACCCTTTACTGGTGTAGCACTAAAAATACAGTGGAACTTAGAGTCTTAGATTGATGTGATAGATAGATATTTCAAGATATATATTTTCTTGAAAAATATTCCCCCCCCTCAGCTCTTTTGAAAGAAAAAAAATTAAAAAATTCCCCTGAGCTGAGAAGAACAAAATGTTTTAAATTTCTAATATGGAACCGGATAAATCAGCTGTTTTAATTTTTGTGCGTAAAATCAAAACAGAAGAGCTACGAGGTCACAAAGTTGTAACAGTAGTTGAATAAATATATAATTTTGTTCAAATGTAAATAAGAAAGCGGGTAAAAGAAGGAATTGAGCCTTTTTCTTAAAAAACTGCCTGACCTGAGCTTATTATAGCTTATTGTTAGCAATTATCATAAATTTTGTAATTTTCTCTTTTTCAATATGGTGACACTAGGTTAAAAAGTGATAGATAGATAGATAGAAAGATAGATAGATAGATAGATAGATAGATAGATAGATAGATAGATAGATAGATAGATAGATTGAGGTTAGATAGATAGATAGATAGAGGTTAGATAGATAGATAGATAGATAGATTGAGGTTAGATAGATAGATGAACAGAGGTTAGATAGATAGATAGATTGATGTTAGATAGATAGAGGTTAGATAGATAGATAGATAGATAGAGGTTAGATAGATAGATAGATAGATAGATAGATAGATAGATAGAAAGTAGAGGGATAGATAGATAGAGGTTAGATAGATAGATAGCTGGGGTTTCCCTGAGACCAAGAATTTTAGGGCTAAAAGGTAGAAATGTCAAAAAAAGGCTTGAAATAAATGCCCTGCTTCAATATTTCTTTATAAGTGTGTCTCAATCCACATACAACGATATTGAACTCTATCCTCTCTACCGAATCCTGGTAGGTCTAAGTATGTATCTATTTATAAATTGGAAAAGTATTATAACATATATTCTTTTAGCCAATCAAGGCATTGTGAATCAATAAAATTCAATTCCTAAGACTACAACAATTCTGCCGTGTATTGCCACTTGCCGAGTTCATTAGCGCCTGATCCAATCAGGGTTCAATCATGTGTTTGTTGTCTATTCTGAACCAATAGAAATAGTATGGCGGTAACATCTATCTTTCTATCTATCTCATTATCCAATCAGAGTTATGAATCCTTCAATCGGCGATATCAGTAAATAGAAATATTTACTTCTACTGAAACTAAAGTGTTGCGTTTCACTGTATATCTTAGTTCTCTTTTTTTTCTTTCTTTTTATCCAACAAATTTATTTTCTATTCAACGCTTGGTTCCCTTCAGATTGAATTCTTTCGCTGGAACTTGAAATCAGAGTCAAATAACACAAATATTTACAAGGGTGTATATTTACAAAGGTGTATATTTATATTTACAAGGGTGTATATTTACAAAGGTGTATATTTATATTTACAAGGGTGTATATTTACAAAGGTGTATATTTATATTTACAAGGGTGTATATTTACAAAGGTGTATATTTATATTTACAAGGGTGTATATTTACAAAGGTGTATATTTACAATGGTGTATATTAACAAGGGTGTATATTTACAAGGATGTATATTTACAAGGATTTATATTTACAAAGGTGTATATTTATATTTACAAGGGTTTATATTTTCTAGAAAAATCTTTAAAAAATCATTTCCGCTCCATAAGTTTGCTCACAGCGCAGAGCTCAAATTCTTTAGCTTTTCATTTGCTAAATTGGGGAAAATTGATAATTTTCAGGGAAAAACAAATGAATTTTTGGCGGAAATTTTTTTGAAAAAGAATCAAAAAAATGTGTCTTTTGATAAAATTTTTTTTATTTTTTCCCTCAAACTATAAAACTTATTTTTGTGAAAAAGTACCAAAAAGAATTTTTAAAAAAACTTGCCTTTTAATCCAATTTTTGTTTTTAATTTAATTCTAAAAAATATACACCCCTGACTTTATAGAAATAAGAGGTTGCCGTTGTTATTTTAAAGGAAATGAGTTTTTGCCACACACTCTAATTGTTTTATTCCTATATCTTTGCAACCCAATGTCGAAGATATTGGAATTCTGATAGATAAAATAGTCTAAGTTTGAAATATCAAATCAGATTACAAAGATATAAGGATTAGAAAATTTGAAATTGTGACAAAGACTTTGGCTTGTTTATCTGTCTGTTTGTTTCCAAAAAACGTCACAACGGATAAACCGATCGGGCCCAATTTTTTTGCGGTAACTAAGGCGACCCCAGGAAATTTTCATTTTTTATTTTAGGAATCAATCAATGTTAACAATTCCGCAAAATTTTAACTATTGTAGTTAGGAAGAAAAGGCCGTTTAAAAAGCAACATTTAAGTGCATAGGTTGTTGCTAGAAAAGAGGAGCAAAGCGCCCGGAAAGCCAATTGAAAGATAAAACTATGTTAAATATTTTAAATATTATTGTCATTGAGGTTTTACATTTTTGATGTCATTTTGTAAAATTCAATGCCCTATTTCCTTCGTAAAAATACATATTTTATATCCGTAAAAATACATGTACGACAAACGTAAAAATGCGTATGTAAAAAATCTAAAAAATCCAGTGAATCAGGATTTTTTAGGGTTTTCCTATACAGAGATTTAAGTTTGAAAAAATCCTTACATTTCTTAATTTTTAGAATTTATAGGTTTTACCTATACGTAAAAATACATATTTTTAAGGCATATTCAAGGTCTAAAACCAAAATGTTAAGAAGATGACTATAATTTTTCGTGCACATACTATATTTCCACAAATTTCAAAAATCCATACATAATTATCATTTATTACTTTCAATCCATTCCAATCCAATATTCTTCTATACAAATTCCCACCATCATCATTCCTTCATCTGTATCCATCTAAATCAACATTCATATATGCATTTTGTCTGTATCTTCAACAATAACGTATTCAATATCTGTTATACTTCATAACGCTAATATTGAATCTAATAAAAACGCCAATTTACTCCAAAATGATAAAAATTTTGAAACATTGTATTTACCAAAATTTTTGCATTAAATTTCTTACATAAAAATTCTCTTTAAAAATCATAAAAAAAATTAAATTCCAACTTAAAAATGAATTTTGTGCAGTTGAGGTTTCGTGAATATATTGACACTGACATCTAAATTTTAAATTCTAAAAAATACAATTTTTTAAGTAAAGAAAAATCCGAAAATCCGAAACAATTTGGACTCAAAAAAAGATCGTAGTAAGATTTCTATTCCACTGGAGACCACCGCCGGAGGGATTTTATTTTTCACTGGAGGGCCGGGTTTGAAAAGTCACTTTTTTTCAATTTAAAATCTTACGCATGGTGATTTACAATCCACAGGAGGGATTCGGATATCTTTCTAGTAGGTTTATAATTCAACTGGAGGGATTCAGGTATTTATCCGGGGGGATTATAATTCCTCTGGAGGGATTCGTATATCTATCCAGGGGGATTATAATTCCACTTGAGGGATTCAGGTATAAACCCCCTGGCAATAAATCTGAATCCCTGTAGTGGAATTATAAACCCCCTGGATAAATAACTGAATCCCTCCAGTGGAATTATATAAACCCCGGGAAGAATATCTGAATCCCTCCAGTCTAATTATAAACCCCCAGGAAGGATATCTGAATCCCTCCAGTGGAATTACAACCCCCCTGGAAAGATATCTGAATCCCTCCAGTGGAACAGTTGAGGGTTAAGCATCCAATTTGAAGATTATAAAATGAATTCTACAGTTGAGGGTTAAGCATCCAATTTGAAGAATATAAAATGAATTCTACAGTTGAGGGTTAAGCATCCAATTTGAAGAATATAAAATGAATTCTCGTTCAGTTTAAATATAAATAATACAAAAATTGTAAAGAAAAGTAGTTTAAAATATTTGAATATGCAGATTTTAATTTAAAAACAAATTTCAAGTATACTGCACATATTGTTAGTTATGGTTTTCCTCATTTCTCTCCCCCCCCCCCCCTTCCTCCCTATCGTTTCATTTTCCTGCGTGATGTGCAGCCAAACTATTTACCCTTTATTTTCTACTGCAGCCTTTAACCCTAGCCTGCCTTTTCCTTGTTTGGAGCTTGTAACCCAACCTGCATCCCCACCCCCCACTCTTTACAACCCCAGCACCGGTTTTAACCCTAGTATACCGTACCGGTTAAAATAAAGGGGGGCCGCTGGGGGGTTAAAAGGAAGAGTCCAGGTGAAAAACAAGAATCTATGAATAGAAAAGGTCGCTCTAACCTACCACCCCCCCTCATCCCACCCTCTCATCCCGTTCCTGAGGTGTGTGCGCCCCAGGGTTGGAAAACTGAAACCCTCCCCCCCTCCTTCCCTCTAGCCTACTCTTCCCCTGAAAAAATGCTCGGCGCGGCCCGCGTCTAGAAGGGTTAAGGCGCAAACAGTGCGGGGCCGGACAGTGAACCCAAACCTGGAGGGTTAAAATCAATATAATAGTAATATTCTACTCTAAATCAAACGAGTTAAAAATTTTAAAAAAAAGTGAGTTATACAGTGAAGTTAACCCTACGATGGAGGGGTTTCTCATCGAATCAACTGGAGAATTTAAGGTTAATATTAATTTAAACATTAGATGTTAGATTCATTTGGATTTTCAAATATTTTGATCAAAATAAATTACGCATTTCTTTAAAGCTCTTTTGAAATATTGAAACTTAGCCCAAAATCAAATGTTATAATTGTGGGAAAGGTCTTTCTGTAAAAAACTTTTCAAACTTTTTAGTAGATATTGCGTAAAATTATGTAAATACACCAATATAATGTATGTTCGACAATATTAAACATTTTAGATCATTTTTTTCAGAGGGGTCGTGGTAAGCTGCTTGTTAATTGTGTTCAGGAGGAGACAAAACTTGAACCTGATCTGCATCTTGTATCTTCACAAGGAGATATAGTTCCTGTTCATAGGTAGTTAATTATATATAGCTCCTGTTCATAGGTAGCTAAATATATTTAATTCCTGTTCATAGGTAGTTAATTATATAAAGTTCCTGTTCATAGGTAGTTAACTAAATATATATAGTTTCTGTTCAATGGTAATTAATTATATGTATAGTTCCTGTTCATAGGTAGTTGAATTTATTTAGTTCCTGTTCGTAGGTAATTAAATTCCTGTTCATAGGTAGTTAACTTTATATATACTTCCTGTTCATAGGTAGTTAACTATTTATATAGTTCCTGTTCATAGGTAGTTAATTATATACATAGTTCCTGTTCATGGGTAGTTAACTATATATAAAATTCCTGTTCATAGACAGTCAACTAGATATAAAGTTCTTGTTCATAGGTAGTTAACTATATATATAGTACCTGTTCAAAGGTAGTTAACTATATATATACTTCCTGTTCAGAGGTAGTTAACTATATATATAGTTCCTGCTCATAGGTAGTCAACTAGATATAGTCCTGTTCATAGGTAGTTAACTATATATAAACTTCCTGTTCATAGATAGTTAACTATATATATATACTTCATGTTCATAGATAGTCAACTAGATAAAAAGTTCTTGTTCATAGGTAGTTAACTGTATAGTTCTTGTTCATAGGAAGTTGATTAGATATAGTTCCTGTTCATAGATAGTTAACTAGATATATTGTTCTTGTTCATAGGTAGTCAACAAGATATAATTCCTGTTCATAGGTAGTTAACTATATATATACTTCCTGCTCATAGGTAGTTAACTATATATATAGTTCCTGCTCATAGGTAGTCAACTATATATATTGTTCCTGTTCATAGGTAGTCAACTTGATATATAGTTCCTGTTCATGGGTAGTTAACTATATATATACTTCCTGTGCATAGGTAGTTAACTAAATATATAGCTCATGTTCATGGGTATTTAACTATATATATAGTTCCTGCTCATAGGTAGTTAACTAGATATATTTCCTGTTCATAGGTAGTTACCTATATATATAGTTCCTGCTCATAGGTAGTTAACTAGATATATTTCCTGTTAATAGGTAGTTAACTAGATATATTTCCTGTCCATAGGTAGTTAACTAGATATATAGTTCCTGTTAATAGGTAGTTAATTATATATATAGTTCCTGTTCATAGGTATTTAAATATTCATAGTTCCTGTTCATAGGTATAGTCACCTAAATATATTAGCTTCTGTTTATAGGTAGTCAATTATATATATAGTTCCTGCTCATAGGTAGTTAATTATATATAGTTCCTGTTCATAGGTAGTTAAATATATATAGTTCCTCTTCATAGGTAGTTATCTAAATATAAAGTTCCTGTTTATAGGTAGTAAATTATTTATACTTCCTGTTCATAGGTAGTTAACTATATATATAGTTCCTGTGCAGAGATACTCGTAAAAAAGATTAAATATATCCATTTCCTTCCTTGTTTCTGGTGCGTAAACTTGAAAGTCATTTTGGTTTAAAACCTTATATTCGCAGTTGATATCTAATTTATTGCAATATTTTGTACAGAGGATACAGAGGTCGGAATTTTTAGATTGGATATTAAGCTACCCCCATGGGATTACTAAGCTGGATATACAGGGTGTCTCACATCATATTAGATCGTTTATAGCTTTTTAAATTGATTTTTAAGGGAATAGTAAGATTATTAAAAAAATCTATCATTTAAGAATATGTATAAGGCTAATATGAAAAATGTCTTGCACCAGGTTTTTTGAATATTATGTGTTTCTTGGCGTTAAAGCTAACAGATAATCCAAAATGATATGTTTCATGTCATTCTCACTTTACCAAAGTACGTAACAGATTGAGACTCTTAGGTTTATTTATTATTTTTTTCAGGAGTGTACTATTGTTATACAGCAGTACACTGTGCCGTGTACTGAGTACAATACAGTGCTGTCAGAGTGTTGCTGTATCTCTGCCCTTTCCCACTAAAGTGCTCAGGTGAGTTCATAGAGTACAAACTTTACAACAGGGTGTCCCAATAAACATGGGAATACAGAGACGACTTAAAAATCGTCTTGGATGTAAAATTGTTTAAAAATAAAGAAATCTTGACATTTAACAAAAGAATTTTATTTTTTTTATCTTATCCTCCATTGTCAAAAAGACAACAATTTTTGGTCTTGTCCGAAAATTGACTGCGGTGATTTTGGATTGAATTTTTTTCTAAACTTTTTCAAACTTTCTCCAAATTTGCAGCCATCCCAGTCCTTTTTCCAAAGGAAAATAATGCGCAATTTTGGTTTAAAACGTCGGACGGTACAAACCTCAGACTGTCGAACGTCGGACAGTACAAAAGTCGGACCAATACAAACGTCGGACTGATACAAACGAGGGAAAGTACAAACGTCGCATTGAATGAATACAAACTTCGGACTAAGGGAAAATTTTATTCGAATTATAAGATAATTTTTTTAAAATCCGCTATTTTCTCTTTGCAAAATTTACAATCTCACAAAGTCTGAGGATATTAGTTCAATTTTAGCTCTGCTTTTTTTTATCATATGGTCTGATTCAAATCCACCAAAAGGAACTGTGTTTTATACTCAGTTCCTTATGTTCTGTTGTTTATACAGTGGTGCCTTCAAAAGTTGAGTCTTTTCAGTTTTCATAAAACAATGGTCTTTTTTCAAACTCAACCAAAGTCTGATATTTTTTCTTAAAAATGTACCCGTCCGACGTTTGTACTAGTCCGATGTTTGTATACTAGTCCGAGGTTTGTTACTGTATCAGTTCGACGTTTGTAATAACCGACCTTTGTACCTTCCGACTTTCATATTAGTTTATTGTACAAAAACCAGATGAAAAACAGAATGAATCAACAAAATATGATGACCTATAATCAAAATATTCACTCACACGTACCAGATATTTTGTAGACATCACGTTGCCAACTTCACGTGCCAGATTAATAAACGAATTAATGTATGTTCTAAAATGAGATGACCTTTGCTGTTGAAAGCTCTTCCCAAATAGATTTAGTTTTTTGTCACATGGCGGAGAATGTGTACGCTTGCTATGCATTTTCTAAACCTTGCACATTACCACGCTTTTGAGTATTATTTTTTTGATTCTCTTTAAATCGCCGTCATCACCCCCGTTATTTCTTTAGACCAATAACAGTCCTCCTTTTTTAATTCAATATATTTAATTAGGAGCTTACAAGCTCAACCAATCTACTCAACGGAGAACTTATTAAACCCAAGCTTAGAATATTGGTCCTAAAAGTTCCCCGACCAAAAAACGTTGATGGAGTTCATATTTTATGATGGGACTGTATAATAGACAACAAGAGATACAGATTTACTAGCTTGGGAACCCAGCACTACCTGGTTTTAAGCTTTTTATAAAAATGTCAACCAACTAAGCTTAGAATTTTTAAACCAAGCTAAGAACATTCTCGAATTTTACCAAGTTACCCAATCACAGCATGAGGCAAATTGGTCTATGGGTTTGTGAGTTATGATCGAATACACAAACAGACAAACAGACAGACAGAGATAACAACATTAGTTTTTTTCTTTTTCATTTCATTTTCATATTATTTATTTATTTATACATACAATTACAATTACAATTACAATTAGTTTTTTATCTTTTTACTTATTCATCTACTTTTCTCTTTACTTGTTTTACTTTTTTTATTTATAGCGGACTATTGAAGTTGATAATAACTGGTTCTGCTGGGGAGTTGGATCGTCAGGTTAGAATTTATTTATTTTTTCCCCATTTTTAGATTCACAACAGTACCGAGTACGTGCCTGTAACCTGTCAATAATTTGGAAAAATCGTCGTTTTTCTAGTTAAAAACATTTTTCTAGTTAAAAACATTTTCTAGTGAAAAAACATCTTTCTAGTTAAAAACATTTTTCTAGCAAAAAAATTTTTTCTAGTTAAAACATTTTTCTAGTTAAAAACATTTTTCTAGTTAAAAACATTTTTCTAGTTAAAAACATTTTTCTAGTTTAAAACATTTTTCTAATCAAAAACATTTTTCAAGTTAAAAACATTTTTCAAGTTTAAAACATTTTTCTAATTAAAAACATTTTTCTAGTTAAAAACATTTTTCTAGTTAAACATTTTTCTAGTTAAACATTTTCCTAGTTAAAAGCATTTTTCTAGTTAAAAGCATTTTTCTAGTTAAAAACATTTTTCTAGTTAAAAGCATTTTTTGTAATTAAAAACATTTTTCTGTTTAAAACATTTTTCTAGTTAAACACATTTTTCTAGTTAAAAGCATTTTTCTAATTAAAAACATTTTTATAGTTAAAAACATTTTTCTAGTTTAAAACATTTTTATAGTTAAAAGCATTTTTCTGGTTAAAACATTTTTCTAGTTAAAAATTTTTTTCTAGTTAAAAACATTTTTCTAGTTTAAACATTTTTCTAGTTAAAAACATTTTTCTAGTTAAAACATTTTTCTAGTTAAAACATTTTTCTAGTTAAAAACATTTTTCTAGCTAAAACATTTTTCTAGTTAAAACATTTTTCTATTTAAAAACATTTTTCTAATTAAAAACATTTTTCTAGTTAAAAACATTTTTCTAGTTAAAACATTTTTCTAGTTTAAAACATTCAAATTCTCGGAATTTTCTCCATTTCTTCTGCAGCAAAAACCCCGTGGCCCGTTTGTCAGTTTTCTATGAGAACTTTTTTAATAGATAAAATTGATAATATTATTTACACGTCCGGTCGCCGGATCATGGGACCAGAACTCCAACCAATTGCATTGCAGTATTATTGTCACATGTCTCCGTCTGTATCACGTGACCACTATACTGCACTTCTATTGGAGGGAGTTTTGGTCACTTTATACGGACGTGACACAGTTTTATGTCAATTTCTCGAGACAGGAACATCAGATAGAACTCTTATAGGTCTCCATCAACTCCTGAGATTTTCAGGTTTCAGCCTATTCCCGCCTTTCATTTTTCCTTTACAGTCCCTTTAACATTCTCAGTTTTTAACTTAATATGATGTTCTCTATCATTTTTGAAATCCCTAATATTGTTCTAAAATGTATAAAAAAATTAAAAATTACATTGTTTAAAAATTTGCAAATTAATTAAGCTGTATATTTCTATTCACCACTTTTTCACAGTGTCTCTCTTTCTAAAGAATTAATTTTGAGACACCTCTAAATTAATGGATATTAATTATTAATATGTCAACAAGGCTTTGCCAGAAGTCGGAATCTTATCTAATCTACATCTTTTGCTTTCCTATTCGGATTAATTTAATCCCTTCGATATCCCGTGGAGGTCATTATACCCTACAGGGATTATTTGAGGGATAAAGCATTTATACTTAAACTTTACTGTGCCCACATTGGATTTAGAGATCAAGCGTTCAAAAGTTTTCACCTCTCCGTTTTGGAATAGTTGGTTTTACGTGTTTTCTTTAGAAGCACGGGCCCAATAAAAATAGCTTTTTCCAATTACATGTTCTAATATAATAATATATATTTACCTCTGTTTTTCTAACAAACAGACACACAACACGGACAAACATCAGTAGTAAAAAATGGAGAAGTTTCATTGCTAGGATTCGAATATTTATTCAATATACATATTTATTTTATTATAGATACATACGGGGTGAGTAAAAAAAAGTGTGATTTGCGGCGCCTGGTGCAAAAGTGTAACTTTTTTGTGCAACTCTTCTGTATGGTGTTTCTTAATATTTTTTTTGAAAATGTGTGTTTTTTTGGTACTTCAATGGCCCCAAAAAAATCCGCGAACCTTTTTCTCTTTCAAAATGAATAGTTCAGAATAACAAAAATGTGTAAATAAATTGTTTCTATAATATTGTAGGAACTCGCTGGTACGTCCTACAGCCCCTTTAACTATAATATTGTAGGAACTCGCTGGTACGTCCTACAGTCCCTTTAACTATAATATTGTAGGAACTCGCTGGTACGTCCTACAGTCCCTTTAACCTTTATTATTGTAGGAACTCACTGGTACGTCCTACAGTCCCTTTAACCTTTAATATTGTAGGAACTCGCTGGTACGTCCTATAGTCCTTTAAACCTATAATATTGTAGGAACTCGCTGGTACGTCCTATAGTCCTTTTAACCTTTAATATTGTAGGAACTCGCTGGTTTAACCGAGTGTGCTCAGATTCTAGGGATCCCTACTCAGGTCTATATTATAATATATATTTGTCAGCTTTATTTTGTAGTCCAATAAACGTCAAAACGACTGAACCGATTGGGTCCAAATTTGTGATGACATCTTACATGACCCCAGCCAGGGCCCAAAATCGGTTTAAGAAAGTCAATAAATTTAATTGTTTTGCCACATTTATTATGTTTGAAAATGCGTCAACTTGAACAGAAAAATTAGCGATCATTTTTTTGCAGGGTTACGTGAAAAATAGAAATTTCAAAGCTAAAATTGTTAATTGAAAAGAAGCGCGAAGCTTCTTAAAGCCTTTTTTATTCAAACTTTGCTTATCTGTTGTTTTGTTTGCATCTAATAAAAGTAAAAACGGCAGAACCGATCCAATTTAAACTTTTTGTGGGACCTCACATGACCCGGGGAAAGTTTAAAGATGGTCATAGAAGAGTAAAGACTTATTAAGCTCTGAAAATATTTCTTGTTATGGTTAAATAATTTAAGAAAAGAAAATGCCTCCGATAGAGGAATTAGGAAAAGTTTGACATTTTTAAAGAAGACGACATTTTTCTCTCAACAAGAAATTTTATGTTTACTGGGCCTGGGGTAATATTTGTAGTGACAAAGATACTTGGAAAGCGTTTTGGCTATATTCTGAAAATTTGCACAAAATAGAAAATTTGAAAAAAATGCTTATTTTTCACATGGCAAAAAATGTGTACAAAAATATTTCCTTAAATTATGCAAAATAATACAAATCAAAAGTGCTGACATATTTTTTCGATATATCAGAGATTGGGGGTGGCGTGCATAAGTTCATAATGTTTTAAAGTTCTAAAATATGATAGACATTTAATGCAATGTTAAAAATTATCCATGTCCAAAATTAATATTTTTTTTCTAGAACTTGGTTATTAGACTTTAAAAAGGTGACTGCACTGAGCTGTACTGTACTGTACTGTACTTTACTTTACTGTACTGTACTGTACTGCAATTTACTGTACTGTACTGTACTGTACTGTACTGTACTGTACTGTAATGTAATGTAATGTACTGTACTGTACTGTACTGTACTGTACTGTACTGTACTGTACTGTACTGTACTGTACTGTACTGTACTGTACTGTACTGTACTGTACTGTACTGTACTGTCACACTTTTGTAAAGGTTCTAGCATTTAAAACTGTATTCTGTCGATTTTCTCTCTTCTTAAACTTCACAAAAATGTGATTCAAAACATAAGGGATAAACTAACAAAAAAAAAACGAAATTCTTTCATATTTTATCGTTAATTTTCCTTCATATACTTTCTCTCAGGGTTAAAATGTGGCTAGGGGGGAAGGACAGAAAATGTAAAAAATAACCAATTTTAAAACTTTAGATTTATCTTGAACCTATCTAAAACTATAAAGGTTATTTCACTATCTGTAAATGATATCAAACGATTAGATTAATCCCAAAGATGTAATGATCATAAATTTAATAAAAAGAGAATATCTAAACAATTAACGATCTCATGTAAGAAGTTTTCAAACACAATTTAAATCAATCAATCAATATAATCCCTCTCAATTTGTATGTATGCTCCCTATTCTCCAATTTGCTAAAATTTAAGATTCTTCAGGGTTTAGAGGTGGTGGAGCAGAAGAACGTTGTTACTGTTCAGGTATAAATTATGAACCAGACATGGGGGGGGGGGCATAGCATTTAGTGGATACATTTTGCATCAATTTCCTTCTCTTGTGCCTCAATATATGCATGTCTGGCCGTAAACTTTGGAATCTTGTAATTTCCTCCGTTTGAATCTCTATCTTTATATTTAAGTGTATATCTGGTTCTTTGTCTATTTGGATGTCCGATCATAACTCAGGAACCTGTTAACAGATTTGCCTCACGTTTTGATTGGTGATTTCGGAGACCCACGGGAATGTACTTAGCTTGGTTTTGAGATTCTTAGTTGAGTGGTTGGGAAAAATAGCTAAAATATTAATGCGGGTAAACAGCGGGAGTAACTACGAGAATCGTGGGCAACACTGGGTTCTCAAACTAGTCATATATATATATAAGAAAATTAAATTGGTTTCGTAGCAATTTACTCTAGACAATTTTTTAACTTTTAAATTTAGGTTGGAGATGATGGCGCTTTACAATCTCTTCTCTCCAAAACTAAACAGTACCAAGGAAACTCAAGCTATGGCGGACATCAAGGACTATCTGGTTTGAAAAATCTTTCCGGGTCCCCAGTCCTGGGGGGGCTCCCTGGACTTCCGGGACTCCATGGACTTCAGCTTCTTCAAAATTTGCAGGCTCTGCAGAGCCTGCAAGCACTTCCAAATCATCAAGCTTTGCATGGACTTCAACGACTTCAGGAGCTTCAGGGGCTACTAGGTGTTCCGGGGGCCCTACCAGGACTTGCAGGGGCGCCAGGGTCGGCTTTAGTGAAACCAGGAAAGATGAGGAAGAGAAAAGCGGAAGGAGAGGAGAAAGTAGCTAAAAGAAGAAAGAAGGATAAATCTAAGGAACCGGTGAGCAAGTCTAGACCCCTCCCCCTTAAAGGGATAATTCAATCCCCCCCTGAAAGGGACAATTCAAGAACCGCCCCCTTAAAGGGACAATATAATAACTGGTTCTGCTGGTGAGTTGGATCGTCAGGTTAGAATTTATTTATTTTTTCCCCATTTTTAGATTCACAACAGTACCGAGTACGTGCCTGTAACCTGTCAATAATTTGGATTAAAAATAATGTTTTGTTAAATAATCTCTTAAAAATAATGTTTTGTTGAATAATCTCTTAAAAATAATGTTTTGTTGAATAATCTCTTAAAAATTCATTGTTTCTAATTTTGTTTTCTCTACTGACAATGGAGCATTTCTGCTACTGCTGCAGAAATACCTTTTAAATTATCAGAATCAAACACTTATAAGCGAGGAAAAAACACGTTAAATCCACAATAATGATCAGATGAATCGTACATACCATACTGTAAAAGGAAGCTGACTTTAAATTTCGTCTCCAGGCCTTCTCTCTCTTTTCACAGAATATGATAATATTATTAAATAACAGATATATGATTTTATAACAAATAGTTAGCCTAAATAGTATTCTATCAAATTGTGATACAGTTCTAACATCTAGTATATAGTTCTAACATCTTTTGATCTGCGACATATTGTATGTGATACATTTCCAACATCTGGTGATGCAGGTCTAATATCTTGTGATTAAGTTCTAATATCTTGTGATATATTTCTAACATCTTGTGATACAGTTATAATATCTGGTGATGCAGTTCTAACATCTAGTATACAGTTCTAACATCTTTGATACCTTTTGATCTGTGACACAATTCAATCATATTGTCTGTGATACAGTTCCAACATTTTGTGATGCAGTTCTAACATCTTGTGATACAGTTCTAATATCTTGTGACACAGTTCTAATATCTTGTGACACTGTTCTAATATCTTGTGATATAGTTGTAACATCTTTTGATACAGTTTTACTATCTTCTGATACAGTTCTAACATCTTGTTATACAGTTACAATATCTTGTGATACAGTTCTAACATTTTGTGATATAGTTCTAACATCTTGTGATACAGTTCTAACATCTTGTGATACAGTTCTATCATCTTGGGATACAGTTCTAACATCTTTTGATCCAGTCCTAACATATTGTGACACAGTTCTAACATCTTTTGATACAGTTTTACCATCTTGTGATTCAGTTCTAACATCTTGTGATACAGTTCTAACATTCTGATTTATTTTAGGCATTGGTTGAGCAGCCAAGGTTTAGTGAGGATGAAATTATTGAGATAACTCCTGAAATGTATGCTGGGATGGGGGGTAGTGATGATGGTATTGGGGAGGAGGAGGAGGAGGAGGAGAGGGATGGGGAGGAGGGGAGGGAGGGCCTTCCCATGCTTCCTCATCATTTCCTCATTCAAGGTAAATTAACTATTTCTTTGTTTAATTACTGAATTATCTCTTAACCTTGAATATTTACAAAAAAATTTATAATTTTAACTAAAATAAAATTGACTTTAGAAAATGGTGAATCTCCCTTTGTCGGTTCTCGGGATAGTTGGGAAAACACGAGGTAGGAAATCGTCTTTGATTTTACAACCAGAATTCTTGGTTTGGTACATTTCATAGAGAGACATTTCATAGATGGACATTTCATAGATGAACATTTTATAGATGGACATTTCATAGATGGACATTTCATAGATGGACATTTCATAGATGGACATTTTAAAGATGGACATTTCATAGATGGACATTTTATAGATGGACATTTCATAGATGGACATTTCATAGATGGACATTTTAAAGATGGACATTTCATAGATGGACATTTTATAGATGGACATTTTATAGATGGACATTTCATAGATGGACATTTCATAGACAATACATTTCATAGACAATACATTTCATAGACAATACATTTCATAGACAATACATTTCACAGATGGACATTTCATAGATGGACATTTCATAGAGAGACATTTCATAGATGGACATTTTATAGATGGACATTTCATAGATGGACATTTCATAGATGGACATTTCATAGATAACAAGTTCATAGACAGGACATTTCAAAGAGCAATTTTTCATAGATAGGACTTTTTATAGATATGTCTTGTCTCTGAAATGTCCTATCTATGATATGTTTTATATATTAAATGCCCTATCTATGAAATGTCCTGTCTATAAAGTTTCCTATCTATGAAATATCATATCTGTTATTTTGTTATCAATGAAAATGTCCTATCTTAGGGGAATCACATTTTCAATCAATATAGTTAATTTCAATGTATAAAGTTTAAAAGTCTTAAAGTTTAATCAAATAAAAATGTTTTATCTAATTTCAGTTAAAAATGATAAGTTTAAAAAAAGAGTTTTTTGGGGGGGCTCAAATCCCGCATCAACGGGGGGCATTGTTTACTACGTTTTACTCATTTTGCCCCCCCCCCCCCCCCCCATAGATACGGCTCTGGATCCATTGCTAAATCTTCAGAGCTGGTTTAGTCTTATTTCTAAACTTGCTGAAATTTTCAGAATTTTTTTACAAATTTTAATCTTCTTGAGTTGCATGAAAAGATTTACATATCAAAACAGGAAATTTAAAAAGAAGATTTAAGATCAAAGTTTTTAAATTTTTGAAAAAATCTTGTTTTCAAAAAAAATATAACCATTTAAAAAATAATATATATGAATTCCCTTTTTGGTTTTTAATATGAATTCCGTTTTAGATTTTTTTAAAGCTTCTAGACATATGTTGTAGAGTTAAATATAAATAACTATGGTATTAAATACTCAAGAAGAAGGTTATTTGCTTTTTGAAATTTTTTACGATAAAACTTTGTTGCTAGCTTAATTTATGCCTCAAGAAAACGTTATTTTTGTTGAATGACTTTGAATAGAAAAATTCTTTAAAAAACTTCATAAAAAAGTGACTTTAAAATAAAATTTTCTAAAATTGATAATATGAAAGGAATGCAAAGCACTATAAAAGCCTGGCACATTAAAATTGGCATTGGCAAGAATGGCTTATTAGTGTCTAAAATTTGTTTTTTTTCTGACATGAAGATTGCATTTAAAATGAAATTAATTTAAATCAATATTCAATTAATCCCAAATTATGAATTCAATCAAACTAAAAGATACGTTCCTAAATCTTTTGCTGTCTCTTCCATCAACATCATCCAATTGATTAACGCTATCTGTCAACAATCTATTTATCAAACATTTTTGATTGTTTTAGTAGATTTAAGATTTTAAAAAACAATGGCAGATCAGTCTCCAATCAATTCCAAGTGGGGGGGGGGGAGGGGCTGCACCTTAAAAAATTCTTTTATTAAAATAATGAGATTTTTTTTAGCTGGGATATGGAGAATTCAGACGGTCAGCCACTAGGACATGGCGGAGATTTCGATCTCGACGCTGATCATGCTACTCCTGAGGTCAAGGAGATCGTCAGTGAAAACGATCCAGAGGTATTTTGTCCTATTTGTCGAGCGGAGCATTTGTTTCCAGTTCTCAGGTTTTAGATATTTTTAGTATACACTTCTTTCTGAGTTAAACTTCTTCGGAAAGTAATCAAAGCACTCAAATTTTTATTTTTCAAAACTGTAAATGGATTTTTGGGACGGGTGTAGAATAAAATAAATTCTAACTGTATTATGTAAACTTATACAGATTATTTTCAAATTTTTAAAGGACATACTGCAAAATCAGGAAAAAATAAATATTGTCATAAAATTTTCTTTTATATCTCACCTTTAAAGATTAAAAAATCAACAGTTTTAGTGGTAGGTTGCAAAAATATGAATTCCTTTACAGTTAAAAATCAAATATTCACATATTAAAAAATCTATTGTTTTCATCATTAGATTTCAAAATTATAGTTATCAGCAATTTGATAGTTTAATAGCTTAATAATTGATAAAAACAAAGCAGTTGTATTGTGTACACACATACCCATTTTATTTTCTTCATAATAATATTAAATAATTATATGTCGTTTTCTTCTTCCACCATTATATGTGTCGCACTGTATTCTCTAAATTTCGAAAAAAATTGCCTATTTGGCAGCTTTCCAACTATTGCTGCCCATTAAGTGATTTAATGATTTTTAAATGTTGTGTAATTATTGTAATTTTAACTAACTTTAGGTGATTGTTTTTGAGTGCAGTTTTTGCCCAGGACAAATTTTTAAGAAGAGAAATGATATCAACAGACATCTCAAGAAACATGTCCCAATAGGTGAATAGACAGACGGAGAAGTAGCAGACACCAGACGGATAAATATCAGACAACAGACGGATAAATAGCAGACAACAGAGGGATAAATATCAGACACCAGACGGATAAATATCAGACAACAGACGGATAAATATCAGACACCCACACCAGACGGATGAATATCAGACACCAGATTGATAAATATCAGACAACAGACGGATAAATATCAGACAACAGACGGATAAATATTAGACTGACAATATTTCAACTAAACAAACTGAAAAAACATCAGATATACCGAGTCACTTGTGACACATTTCAATTAGACTAAGGGATCTTAATCAGACAGACTGACAGGGTGTTTGCAAAAATTGAAAGACGTCGAATCCAATACGATGGTGATCACTACTAATCCTAATTCGGTCTGTTGCATCTCATTAAGAAAAAATGGCCAAACACAAATCATACCGAAGAACGTAGCATCCATACAAATTCCGAAAGTTGCATTATTCCGCTCAGATCGTAAATAATTCAATTAGATTTAAAATTAATCATTAACATATAGTGATCGAATTCTATTCGATGCATTCGTAAAAAGTTAATATTTAATAATAATAATTTTTATTTGTTTCATATACAATTTTCTTAACGACGAATATTTAGCTGCTAAGCGTCTCTGCTATCAGGGGTTCCACGTGCAGCGTGGGAAAGTCATCTAAGCGAACAAAAAAAAAACATCGTTTAAAGTACATTGTTTATGAAACAAATAAAAAATATTATGAAATATCAACTACATATGAATGCATCAAATTAAATTCGATTAAATTGAATTTGTGTGGACGCTACGCTCTTCGGTATGAGTCGTGTTTAACCATTTTCTCCTTAATCACCATAATATTCGTTTCGACGTTAGCCTTTACCCCTTTCATTTTTCGCGAACACTCATTTTAACAAAACAAAAAAAATCCAAGACGAAAAACAAGGAAAACCAACTATAGAATCTAAACTATTAAATTAATTAACAAATCTAAATTTAGAAATGCGTAAGCGGTTCCAGTGTGAGAAGTGCAAGGAGAAGTTTATAAATAACAGCAACTTGAAAGTGCACATGAAGGTGAAATTCAAATCATTATTCCTAACATCAACAAAGTTTTTATCAGGAGGTCAAAATTGGGCTAAACTAACTTTTATTTGTTTTTAACTGTTAGTCTTTAACATCTTATCATTCAAGTCGTCTTTGTGAGAAATATCATTTATTCAAAATTCTTAGTTATGCACTTTTTTGTTAGTTTTCAAGTATTANAAAATTTCTATAGCATTTAAATACATTGTATATAATACATAACTATATTATACAAAACGCTTAATTTTGCATATAAATTTTAAAGTTTAACAAAATACGTATCTTCTGTTAGAGAAAAAAAATATTTTAATTTTTTCTAAATCTTTAAGAATCCGATTAAAACCCCAAAAACTAAAAATTAACAAAAAAAAACTATTACCTCTCTGAGACTTAATATTATTGTTATGATTTTTTTAGTAAAGCTGCTTCATCTGCAAACTGATTTAAATATAAAAGATGGCATTTGGAAACTATTATGTTAACTGGATGCGTTTTAAAAATAGTTCTTGTAAATAATCTTTTTTTGTTAATATTCACAAAAACCCTTCTTTTTGTTATTCAATCTACAAACTAGACAAATTAAATACAGTATATGACAAATTGTTTTCTCTAAAATCTAAATTTGTTTTAGGTTTGCTCTGGGAAGATAAAGGAGTTTTTGGTAAGTTAAACTAAATGTATTCAAAACTTAAAGTAACCCTCAATTTGAAGTCCTTAATTACCCTCTGTTGGAGTAACAAGATTTCTGTATTTTTCTGTATTTAAAGAAAAATTACAACTGCAAATTTTCAAGGCAAAGTTGTAAAGTTTACCGATGTGAATTCGACATGCCGGTGAACATATGAAGGGTAACTTAAAGTAAGCCTCCACTCTTCAGTCTCTCCTAATTTTGCACAAGATTTGGTGATATAAACAAAAATGAGTCTCCGCTTAGAGTATCTGCTAACCTAACAGTTGTGTACAACAAAGATTTAAAGAATAACATAATTTGGCTGGCATGCAACTCTCCGAAGGTCAATGGACTGTCCCTTTAAGATATATTTTGTTTAGTGCAAGAAATGTGGAGATGTTCAGTACAACAAAACCGACCATTTAGAGCATCTAGGTAAACTTTCTCGTCTAGTCTTTCATCTCTTCGATACTTTTTACTAACATATCTATGTTTGTGGGTTTGTATGTCCAATCATAACTCATAAGATATATTAAGGCGGGCTCTTCGAAATAGGTCACAAAATAGGTATCAAATCTATTTTCATAAACACCTCAAATGTTGATTGGAAAACTCGGAAGAACCACGGTAATGTTCTTATCGGTTTTTTTAATTGAGTGGGCTGACTTTAATGGGGAAAATCCAGGCAAAACTAGTATCTATATATTTATGTACTTTTAGCTCGTGTACATAACATCAACAAGAAGCATGCCTGTCCTATCTGCCACAAACAGCTGAAGAAAACTAGTGATCTGAAGAAGCACATGGCAACTCATAGTAACATGGTAATTATTTTCAGATTTTTTAATTGAAAATTTTCTTTAAATTCAAAATCACCAAATACAATTCAACGTTTTCCTACAAATTTTAATTTAGGGGTATTATGAAAATTAATCATTAACATTTTAAAATATTTTTTTGTCGGCTAAAATCTTGCTAATTTTTTTTTCGATTTTTTTATGAAACCCTTTCCGTTAACCTATTGTCCAAAAACGGCATCCCAGTCACTTTTTACTTTTAAAGGATATATATTTTAAGTACTTAAATGAACACTAATCTGAGTTTGCGAAGATTAAAATACCATTGTATAGGAAACCAATCAAAAATAATTGTTCTTGTGAAAAATTATTTGTTATTTAAGAAAAAAAGAAAAAATTCAGAAAGTTTTGTTGGCGTCAAAAAAAAACTGGGGATAGAAAGAAAACATTGTGTGTATTTTGTTGTTATAAACAAAAACTTTTACTCCGAATTTCCAAGTTTCATATGTATTAGACAATTCAACACGATAATTTGAGTCTGATTGTCGTCTTCCTCACTGTACGCTTTCTACAACCAATTTTTATATTTATGATCAAATATATAAATATCGATTAACTTTAAAGAGACTGTAAGCGTCTTTAAATTGACCCTCCATGCAAAGATAAGATGGCAGTGCCCGATTCACATCGGTATCCTGAAAACTTTATCTGATGAAGCTCGAGTTAGATTTCAATGTTTGTAATTTAAAAAACTGATCATTTTCTATTTTGGGTTTCTCTACAAATGTGACTTGTATATTTCTGTTGCAGGAAAACATATGGAAATGATAAGATTTCAAACTTTTACATAATTGATCAGATAAAGGCTAAAGATCTTTGTATATCGGACATTCCTATTTTTGCATGGAGAGTTACATTTATTTAAAATCACACTTTTGTGTTTGTTTTTATAAGAAACCTTTTCAGAAACCCTTCTCCTGTGAGGTTTGCGGGAAGAAATTCAAGACCGAATCTTACGTTAAGGTTAGAATAAATATAGAACAAATTTAGAATAAATACAGAATAAATATAGAATAAATATAGAATAGATACAGAATAAATATAGAATAAATATAGAATAAATATAGAATAGATACAGAATAAATATAGAATAAATATAGAATAAATATATGATTGTTTTTGTTTAGTTATAATTCAAGAACATGTTTTTTTGCAGGTTCACATGAAGTCTCATTTTGTAAATGGGGAGATACCAGAACATTTCGGGAACGGATCCAATATGGCCGCCGGAAATGAAGGGTCAGCTGGGGAAAATGATTTACAGGAGGATATTGAAAGGTATTTAGGGAGGGGGGGGGGGGATATTCATTGGTTAATGGTCCTCCACATAAGTTTTATATTCCGAGCCCCATTTTACTTGATTTCTCACCACCTTCTTTGGGTTAAATTCATAATAACACAGATAGAACATTATATATCGTCTTTCAAAGCTTTTGGGGGTTTTAGTACAGAAGCCCAAAGGAGTTCCGCGCAGTTCTCTCTCTGTCTTGTAATTCAACGCAACGCAGCAACAAATCTTTTGCCTTCTGCCTCAGGGTTATTTTGAACGAAAACCCCCTAAATCTTGAAAATACGTTTTATCTGTGTTGTCAATTAATCTTTGCTTAAATTGATAAAATTTATAAATTTATTTGCACTGACATGATATAAATTTAGCAAGATCTTGGTTACAACTTACAAGTTGTTTTGCTTTTAAATTATAACATATCTCAAAGAATGGGTTGAAAACATATCTTATTGAACTATATATTCCATCCTTCCTTGAACCAATATATTTTCTTCAATATAAATAGAAATGTTTTTCCCCCCAGTTCTCCTTTTAATAACATTTACAAAACTTTTTTATCATTTTCAAATGGTTCTAACAAAAGCTTAAAAATACATATATTCAAATATTTACGTCTGTTAAAAACCAAATTTGACATATTTTATTTCTTTGTTTTTTTTTACTGTAAACCAAATACAAATATTTGGCTAAAATAAAGTAACCCAACCCAGAAAATGCATTTTTAGCGAAAAACAATTTTTCATGGTACATGATACTGTTCATGTTAGCGTTATATCATCAGATAAAATTATTGATTGATCTTAAAGGAGCTCCGAAGCTTTTATGGAGACTGTTGGAAGCTCAGACCTCGCACAATGCTCAGATGATGAGGAAAGTGGAGCGTTGCGAATTGATTTGGAACAGGTGGACAATCAAAATGGCAGAAATCTACTGGAAAAGCAAAATGTCGGAAACCCACTGGAAAAGGAAAATGGCGTGAATCAAAACGAGGAATTGTACAATGACCAGGTTGGTCATTTTTTCAGTGTTTATTTAATACATAAAAAAATTCTTAAACTGGCTCTTTCGTAAAATGTTCTCCCCCCGGGCCACTCTCACAAAAAAATCGATACATTACAAGAAAAATAAAATCATAGTTGGCATGTTTACTGAGTTGTATCAATGAGGATTTAAACCCTTTAAACCCCTCTAAGTTGTTATATAAAACATGTTTAAAAAATGATAACATATTTATAATATTGTATAATGTTGTAAAATACATATAGGAGGGTGCTCAGCTGAGTTGTGAAGACTCCACTGGTTCCCTCTGGACGAATGAGAAGGAAATAAAGATTATGAAGAATACAGAAGATACTCCTGAAGATATTTCGGAGACTGCTGACACCCCTGAAGGAGGGAGTGAGTGCGTGGACACCCCTGAAGGCGGGAGTGAGTGCGTGGACACCCCTGAGGGAGGTAGCACAAGTGATGAAATGGAGATACAGGAAAATGGACTGGAGTTTGGCAAAAAGGTAGAATTGTTAGTCTAATTAAAAATTCATTTTTTTATATCAGTAATTTTAAAAGTATTTAAATAATATTCATTCCCTGTTCTGGAATTATAATTTTCATTATATGAAATAATTTCAGGATCTCTATGTTGCTCAGATGAATCTGTTCAGAAATTCGCGAGAAATTGTTTAAAATCAGCTGATATCTAGGAAAAACAGCTGATACTGTATAAAATTCAGCTGTTTTCTTGAGTATAACAGCTGTTTGCTTGGTAGATTTTTAGCTTTAACAATTCTAGTAAAATCTACCCTTTCACAAAATTGTAAAAATATCTTCGAAAACAATTTAGTAGAATAAGAGGACACTTGAAGATGTTTTTTAGGCACTTCTAGTAATCAATGAAACCTAAGAACTACGTGTAATTGGGTTTTGTGCAAATTAAAGATTTGACTGAACTGACTTGTAAACAAATATTCAATTTATTCTCAGGAATTTATTGCAAATACAGTATTTGTTATTTTATTATTTTAATTAGATAAATAAACGATAAAATTTGCAGAATTATTTTAATTAAGACATCTAGATAAATAAACGATAAAACTAGGAGAATTTGAACTTAAGAACTAATATCTGGACATGCATGGTGTTACCTGTTTTGAATGAGACTTCAGAGACGACAGGAAAAAATTTACTAATACTTATATTCTCGGTTTCTCTTCAAATGTATGCATTTATAGGCATTCAGCAGGTCGTAATATACTTAGTTACTTAGACAGTGTTTTAGCTAGTGTTTTAATCAATTTAGCTATTCCTCAAGGCTTCTTGAAGAGATTAATTAAAATAACAGATTGGACACTAGATGTCGTTTTTTAAGATTTGGATGAAACTCGGTCGTAATATCTCTGAGGCAGAAGCCCAGGGGAGTTTTGCGCAGTCGGCGAAAGAGCCTGTTCTACAGAATTTCGTCGAAATTTCTTATCTGATAGATTTAGCTTAACCGTAAATTTCCAGTGTTTCAGTCATATTTTTCGGGCCTCTCTGTAAGTGTTAAAAAAAAGTAATATAATTAAACATAATTTCATATTTTTAATTTTTTTGTTTAAGATAATTAAGGTTTGTTAAATTTTACAAAAAAATAATTTGTTTAAAATGAGTAAATATGTTTGGCGAATTTGATGATCTTTAACATCAATTTAAACAATGAACAGGGGCGGATATAAGGATTCTGTAGGGGGGGTTTAGATTTNATTCTAGGGGGGGGTATTTAACCCCAGGATTCTAGGGGGGGTATTTACCCCCAGGATTCTAGGGGGGGGGGTATTTACCCCCAGGATTCTAGGGGGGGGTAAATAACCCCAATAACCCCCCTTATTTACGCCACTGACAATGAATCCCCTATGAAACCGAATATCCCGGATTTTAGACAAATTTTCAGTTTAAATTGTGGGCAGGTTTTTTATCATGTTTTTAGAATTTAAAATCAGTTATGTGTGTTCAAACGAGGGGGGGGGGGGAGTGCAGAAGTGAACAAACGTGTTTTGCGGCATGCGCGCGCATTAATTGATTATCATAAATATAAAAAATTTACTTTAATCTGTTTATTTCTTAGAAATAAAACCATATAGACATCTATTAATGGCCCTATGGTGTACAATATTTTTTAAGCTTTATTGCTCCTCAGTTTCCTCAGTTTCGTAAAATCTATAAATATATATGCCGCATGAAAGTAACGGATGTAAATGCCTGTAAAGATCTAGAAAAACTCAAGCACATGAAAATCTTCCGCTTTTCCTGAACTCCCATGCAATCTTGAGGATGAGCTTCTCTTAAACCTTGCAATATTTTATAAATAATTTCAATTTGTCTCCAAGTTACTTTTTGCTAAACAATCAACTAAAAAAGGAGCTTATCAAAATAAAAAATGATTTTAAATTGTTAATTTACTTTTCTTAATCTAAAGGGTGTCACAATCAATGTGCGAATTCAGAGACGATTTTTATATTGTCTTCGATCCATGTTGTATTTTTCATGAACTCAATTATTGCATCATTCCAGCTTGACATCAAATATCTAAAACGCCTCGACATTTTCAAAATGTGGTCTACCATTTAATATCTTGAATAATGACGGAGATATTTCAAAATTTGTAAAAAATTCAATTTATTTAATATATCAAAATTGTCTTAATATCTGAAATCTGAAAGATACAGGTTGACCACTTTAAGAAAACCTAGTCAGACGTACAGCCTTTTTTCTATTTTCTTTGCAACCCATCAAATATTAAGAAATTAAAGACGACTATAAAGTAGTCTCTCCATTCCCATGTTTATTGGGACACCCTATAAGTCAAATTTTGAGTGTGACGGAAGATATAAGTAAAAAACGACCCAAAAACTAACTTTTTGTAACTATTTGTGACTATTTGTGGATGCTTTTTTCATTTCTTTCTATTTCATGATAAAGAAATTGTAAAGTTAGATAAAAGCAAACTTTAGTAAAGGTTTGAAATCTTGCTAGTTTTTCTTATACGATCCATAGCGATTAACAACACTACCTTTGCCTAGATTATAAATTAACATCTTAACTAACATTTATTTCTGTGCTTTCAAATACAAGGAAGTACAAAGATAACAACCGTAAGGCATTTTTGGTACATTTGTGCACAATTCAATTCAAGAAGTACAAATTATATGTATTTTCATATGATTTATAAATATAAATACAAAAAGTATAAAAATGGCTTTCGGGGGTTTATATTTTCGAAAAGAAAGGACAAAAAATTAAATTTGAAAAATAATGTTTACGCTGAAATTTCAAAAAACACCTTTTTAAAAAGTAAATGATCTCTTCCGAATATCCGGATATGTATAAATTAGAATTCTTCTCTTAAAATGTAGCATTAGTGTGCCTGATTTACAAGGGTACTCTTTAAGTCAGTATCTGAGCATGTGGAAGATACAGTCATTCTTCATTTTGAAAAGTGGAAGTCAGTCAATTTCTGACATTTATTACAAGTCAGTTTAACAGAGTGATAAATTAGCTCACATGAAGGGAAAAAGGCACGATTGTGAATAATACATGCCACTCTATAAAAAGAGGGTATTTTTAAAAAATAGTTTTCGGATGAACAATTGGAATGCATGTAAAAAAAAACGTTATCAAGATTTCATTTGATTTTTGAATGCATACAGAATTTGATACATTCAAAAAGACAATTTTCCTGGGAAAAAAACTTGGTAGGGAACCTCCAAAAATGGGAAAAATTCGCAACAAAAAAAAGGAATCCGCAACTTTAGGCCACAGAGCAAACTTATCCTAACGAGTTTATCACAGTACTGCACTGTGTACTACAAAACTAACGAAAACATTTATGTACAATCTGTACAAACACTGGTGAATTAGGACTGTGAATTTTACAACCATAGAAAAAAATAGGTGAACTTTCATCTTAATAAAATTCGAATTTGCTGTTGGCTTTAAACATTTTTTATATATAATTACTTAATATAATAGATACTGGAAAGACATAACCTTGAGATATAGAAATGCGTTGTTGAATGTTGTTTAATATTGTTGTTGAATGTTGTTGAATGTTGATAATAATTCAAAAATTGAAATTAAAAATTGTTTAGCATTTTCTACATCGTGTATATTTTGGCAACATTCGGTGGCATTTCATTAGATCTAAAATCAGAACTTTTATGTGAAATTGCACTAATCTACATTTTAGTAATCCCAGCAGGGTATGGGCATCATTTTTGTAAAATAATGAAATATTTCGTGAAAAAATGTGTCGTTTAGAAAAAAAACCCGAAAGATGGACGAATGAATTGGATTGTTCAGAGAGATAAAAAATTATTGTTTTTAAAACTAAAGAAAAAGTACAAAACAAACGACAAGTTTTTCGAAAGAACTTGAAAAAACAATCGTTTGTTATCTAAACGAACGAATTTCCCCTAAGATTTGGAAAACTATCGTGCTTTACCGAAAGAACAATTTTTCGGGACAAACTTTAAAAATCTAGCATTTTTAAAACTGAAAAACGATTTATTCGAACAAATTTTTGAAAAAGCTATCGTTTCTTTTAACTAAACGAACGTTTTTATTGAACTAACGTTTTTTTGTGAATGAACGATTTTAGTAAACGAACGATTTTACTGAACGATCTTTCAGTGAGAAAACGAACGAAACAAATGGAAAATTAACGATAATTTTGAGTACGAACGAAATCGTATTTTTTAACGATTGAAAAAAAGTACAAAATGTGTCGTTCACAAAAAATGACGAACAAAATGGAAAAAGTGGAACGTGTCCAAAAGTAGGGTTCGAACTTCAGATTCACAACACAAAAGATCTGACTTTAATAATGAAATTAGAGATAGCAAATTCTATCCGTTAAGAAAATAATAGAAGTGAAATGTTTTTATTTGAACTTTTAAGGTTATGTTTAGTACTTTTGATAAGAGAGACACATTACAATTTTAAAAGTTTACATAAAAAATTATTTCAGTTAATACATTTAGAACAAATCTAAACCGGTTTCTTGGTGTTAAAAGGTATAAAAACCGGTTCTAGAATAGTTCAAACCAGTTTCAAGCTGTTGATGCTTAACAAAACCGGTTTCAAGATGTGTATGTTTTACCAAGCCGGTTCATCCCGGTTTTCTATGTCTCGGTGTTTATCCAAACCGATTTCTCTTTTCGTTGATTTCTCGGATTTCCCTAAAATTTTTTTTGTATAATTCAAGCTTAAAGGGACTGCATGTCGGTCGTACAATGGGAATTTTCGATTTGCACATGTGCCCTTTAATCTTCAGCTAATCAATAATAGTTTCCAGATAAAAAATGTGTTCAATTACGACAATTTTTTCTCCGTAACTTCTGAAGAAATTTTGAAAGAAAAGATTATTGATCAGAAAACGCTTGTAAGGGTACTATCTATACGCATAAAATGACAGCTACAGTCCTTTTAAGGAAAAAAATAAGATTTCCGTTAGAAAACGGAAAACGACAAATTAACGTTGTTTGTTCAAAAACAGAAAACAAATTTTTTTCTTTAAAATGAAAACTTGTTAAAACGGTCGCATCGATTTTTTAAACAACAAAAGTTTAAAAGGATCAATTTGAAATTAACATTTTTTGTTTGAATGCAACATTTTTTTAATGTTTGTTGATTCTTAGACGAAAAGAGGTCCGAAATGAGGCGCTTAGGAGAAGTAAAGTTTGAAAAAAGGTTCAACTGCGGAAGGATCCCAAAAGGGTTGGTTCCGTATACCTCTATACCCTTAGTTCCAAATCAAGTATTATAATTTACATATTACTTTTAACAATAAAGAATTTGTATTAGTTGAAGTCTAGTCGGATAGGATTTGCGGCTTCTCCCGGTATTAACAAAACTGCAAAATATCATATTTGCTTCTATTATTTCTAATTATTCAATTCTATTTTTTTGCAGACAAACTGTGAGGTTAAAACAAATTCCAACATTAAACGCCCTGAGAAAATTATTGAAAAAGATAAGAAATTTACGATAATTTTGAGAACGAACGAAATAATTTTTTTTAGAAGGATTAAACAAATCGGAAGGAAAGGATTAACGAACGATGAACGAAAAAAACACAAAAAGCCTAATGCGCCCATCTTTATTAACAAGTGTTGCATCTTACTATTTCTAAAAAATATTGAAAAAACAGTCGGCGAAGTGTTTATTTGAAACTCCTAGCACCTCAAGTGCTCAACTAATTAAAGTTAGCGGTCAAAATCGTAGAAAAAAATATTTACGAAAGCATGGAGTCGAGTGGGAGGGGGGGGGGACACTTTTTTCTAGTAAATTCCTCTCTATATATTCTATTCTATATGGTACTGTCCCATAAGTTTGACCTTCTTCTACTGTTTAGTAGCAGTTGATGTATTTTGTACAAAAGGATTAAAAGACAGTTCCACAGTTTTATTCTTGCAATTTTTAGTTATTCAAACTAGCTTGGGAACCCATCGTTGCCCGGGTTATATTGTTACCTCTGCCGTTTTCCCGCGCTTGGTCTTAAATTACGATTTTGGTGATTTTGACTATATAAGTTGACTCACTCAATTTAGAATCTCAAAACCAAGCTAAGACCATTCCTACGGTTTTCCCGAGCCCCCAATCAAAATTTGAGGCAAATCGGTAAAGGAGTTCCTGAGTTATGATGGGAGATAGAAACAAATAAAGATTACTATAGTTAAAGAACATACATTATAGGAGCTGGAGCTAAGAATTGATACTCAGAAACAGACACTCACTGCTCGGGATGAAAGCATTAAGAAACTACTTGAGATGCTTCAGAGTAAAGGAGAAGGTTTGTTTTTTGTTAATTATCAAATAATTTGCTAAAATGGCGGGAATATACAAATCAATATATCTTTGCAATCCATTATCCTTAGATTAAATAATCTAAGTTTAAAATATAAACGGGTTAAACCATCAAGTTGCAAAAATATAGGGATTAGAAAATTTGAGTTTGTGGCAAGGCCTCAATGTCTTTAAACTCAAATACAATTCTACTTTAACGTTTAAATTCACAGAAATTTAATAAAGGTGCAAATAAATAAAAAATGAAGAAAGCTAAGCAAAAAAATATAAATCCAAATAAAATATTCATTTATGTCATTGTAATGGGTATTATTAAGTGCGATAAAGTTTTTGCCGGGATTTTTATTTTTTCTAGTTTAAAAAACTTTTTCCCACGCATGATACCCATTTCAATATCATTTATAGTTTTATTCAATTTTACTCAAAATATTTAAAAGCAAATCGATAAAGTTATTTAATCACCCTGTCGTAGGGTGATTAAGTAACTTTATCACCCTACAATGAGACAAATTAGGTATGAAATTTGAAATTTTAATAGCAGGGTGAAAAGGTTACTTTTTCGACCAGTTGTAGGGCGATAAAGTCACTTAATCACCCTACAACGGGAAATATTAGGTATTAAATTCCATCAAAATTGAATAATTTGATTTTGGTCATAAATGGGGCTTAGTTTGGTTCAAAGCAGTCTGTTTCTTTGGAAATATAATAACTTTTTAAACATATGTTACGAAAAAACGCTATAATTAGATTAATCATTCATCTTTGCAAAATACATTGCACAAATATTGGCAAAATGCATATTTAATTGCAATGATAGAATGTCTTATGCACTGTAAAAGTTCTTAAAATTCAATATTTTGCACCAAGTTCCTTCAACATTCATTTATTATTCTTAAATTTAGATAACACATTTTGATCAAATCTTTAAAAAAAATTTAACACTATTAAAAATAATAATAATAATAATAGTAATACTAATAGTAATAATAGAAATAATAAAAATAAAAATAATAATAATGATAGTAATAATAGTAATAATAATAATAATAGTAATACTAGTAATAATAGTAATAATAGTAATACTATTAAATAGTAAATGAAAACGACTTTTAAAAATTCTTTTTCTGTCTACGAAGTTCTAGGTTTAAAACTGTTATATTTTGATTTGATTATATAACCAAAAATAACAACAAAAACAAAGATTTATAGCAAAACAAACAAACAACAGTCATCGGCATCAGCATTAGTACAATTCAATTCAATTCAATTCAATTTAATTCAAGAAGCTAGGGAAGTCCTGTGGGCTCCTCGATCTAAATGGGGTACAAACATGATTCAGCCATATCTATATAAACATGAACATTAACATGAACATGATGAATGACTATGAACACTAGAAATGAACATAAACATGAACGTAAACCAACTAAACCATAAGTCCCTTTAAAAAATCAATTTAATACCTGACTTGGTTGGAGCTGGACTGTACTCATATTCTCCGCTTTCAAGAATCTGATTTACAACCGTCAAAATCAAGGAAAACCAATATATCAGTAGGGGTAAATATTTTCTTAAAATCATACAAGGCCAAAAAAAAAGGTGTTGCTTATTCCATTTAACACCCAGGGCATCAACAATTAATATATATATATACAATAAAAATGTAAAAACGATCGTTTTTTCAAAAAAAAATTGTCATTGATAAATATGCAACTTTATCGAATGTCATCTTACAATGCATTTGAAAGGTTGTGGGGGAGATAAAACTTCTTGATATTTTCTTTTAAACTATTAAATGATAAGAACCGATGCCCTTCAGGTCGGTTTCCTCTCTTCTCAAAGAAAAATAACGATATTTTTCTTATTAGTTATTTTCACACAAACAGAGGTTTAAACTTACAAGGGCATGTGAATAGGATAGATTCCAATGCCATAAACACCCGGAGTTATTGCTTATCAAGGTCCCTCTCGCCTCTATATTTACTAGTTTAAGTCTAGAAGCCGATTTTGTAGACTTAGACTATATTAAACTTTATTGTATTTCAAATAAAATTTATAACATTAACCTTTTGCATTTTCGGGATTGTTTGTAATTATGTAAACCTTCATGCAAATTGTGTTATTTTTTATATTATCTTGAATGAATGATGATAATAACTTTTGTAATTCAAACGCGTTGGCAGTTCATTATGGTGTCTTATTCTCAGCATGTTTTCCATTATTCTAAATTCAATATTTACATCATCCAAATTGAAATATAATTTAATCTTTGCATTTAGGGCAATTTAAACTGTATCAAATTCAAAGATAAGATACGTAAAGAAAAATTCTGATTTTTTCATAATGATTTCCAATTGTAAAACTATACCGTCTGATGGTGAATTAAGCATGACGTATAAAATATACGTATGCTAATTCACCATCAGGGATTTGAAATTTTATGACGAACATACTGATACAAGACAAAACAATATACAAAAAGCGAAATTTTTAAAATGGTATTTTTTGTTCCCGGATAAAGGACCTCACTAGTCTCCTGGAGTTTGTAATAACTCTTGTAATAATAGAGATAAATGGTGCTAACTTTGCACCTATATTCTTTTAATCCATAAGGGGCATAAAAAAATTTCAAATTTTTTTTTTCTTGATCAGGGGCGTAGAAAGGGGGGTATTTGGCCCAAAACAGGTATTTATATATATAAATATTTTTTTGCCGATGTATCATTATTGTTTTCAAGATTTTAGGTCTGACAGAATATTAGACCATGACAAAATAGCCTAACAAGGACAGATTCAGCTTGCAGGAGGAGCCCTGTATGGTTCAGGGGCTAAAAAGCCAACAGTCAGGGGGGTCCTTTGATCCACATCAGACTCCTGAAAAATGAAGAGGAATCAGTGCCAATAATGCAAAATTAAATAAAAAA